CCCCCCCCCCCCCCCCCCCCCCCCGCCCTGTACAATTAGCATTTCTTTTTATCACAACCACATTTTGTCGATTCGCCTTTGAAGGCATGTAAGGAGATAGAGTTCAACGTGCTGATAAGCCCATGAGGCTCAGAGTTTGCACCCAAGGATGAAGGACCCAATAACAAGTTGCAGTTGTGCTTGGCATCGTTCCAATCAACAAGCGATGCCAAAACCAGTTTTTTCTCTCTAAAAATACTCTCTCTCTATGGTTTTTAGTCAAAAAAAGGGGATAATATGTTGAAGTATATAGGCATGTGTATATAGACAACAAAGGTAGTGGTTTGGGCTCATGGTTGCCAATTTGATTTCAATTTGTGGAGATGTTTTTGTTGACCAATTCAAAAGCTTAACCAAGAAGAAAAATGTTTCTTATCCTCTTCCATTTGTTGCCAACTTTGACTCATAAGAATGTGACTTTTATCACTGGCGAGTTCACCTTGTCTGGTATGGTGCTCCGGCTACTCCAATCAACGGTTGCTACCTGCAAAAAGAGGTCGGGGCTTTCTCCCCCGTTGTACCTCCGGCATGAGAATTAGTCACCGGTTTTAGAGCAATAAGGGGAAAGTATAGTGTGAATTCACGTAGTTTTTTGGGTTTCAAGAAAAATTACCTTTCTCACCTTGAAGGTATTTATAGACTCTTGTCGCTGTGCACGCGTTCGGAGTTAGTGGTGCCACGTGTCCCACGTAGACCCCTCATTAACCCCACGTTTTAGTGGAGTAACCCCTACTTCCCAGGTGGTTGGTTGTGCCCACGTTCTCCGTTGACCGGTTCCTATCCAGCTCGTTGTCTTTAGTGTGGTTAAGTGTGTCATTGAACTCATTGCGACAGACGGCCTATGTAAGCGTAGGGGGTCACATGGGGGTCGACGGTCTCATGGGGGGTGACAGCCTCATGGTGGTAGACAATATTTTGTTGGTAGACGATACATGTGAACGTAGAGGGCCTTATGAGGGTCGACGGCCCACTGGGGTCGACGTCTTTATGGTGGTGGACATGTGAGTCAGCAGTTCCATGCAGTCTACGTGGAGCATGTTTTGAATAACCAATGGCTCACGTGGTAAACCGCCAATTCCATCCTATATCAATCACCACGGTAAGGAGAGAGATTTCAATGTTCTTATTTTTAAGCTCACGAGGCACAGAGTTTGCAACCAAGGATGGAGGACCCAATAACATGTTGCAGTTGTGCTTGGCATCGCATCGTTCCAATCAACAAGCGATGCCAAATGGATCTTTGTGATTTTGTTTGGGAATGTTTTCGACGCCTGAATTCAAATGTGTTCTTTCAGATGGAAATTTATGTGTGTTTTACTAGAGGTTATCAGAAATAAATTAATCTACTTGAAAACAGAAACATAAATTAATAGACAGAAGCAAAAAAGATATTGAATGGACAAAAACATTTTTGTGACAGCTGTGGGATTTGAACCCACGCCCTTTCGGACCAGAGCCTAAATCTGGCGCCTTAGACCACTCGGCCAAACTGTCTTATGAGGGCAGTTATTTGACATTTATTTAAATAAACCATATAATATATGTCTCTATCGCCGCAAGAACACAATATTTCCTTTTCATTTTCCAAAAGCATAGGTTCTCACCTTTTTTCCCCAATAGGTGACACTACCAAAGTATCGAGGGTGCCGCGTAAAAAATAAGCATGAATTTTCTTGCTATTTACAATATGTATATTACGTAATATTATACTTTACTCGAAGTTATATATTGTACCATACATGCGTTGGGGGAAATTTTTCAATATTACTACTATTGAACTTACGCTCCCAACAAAATCAAGGAAAATGTTAAAAAAGAGAGAGACAGACAGACAGACAGAGAGGGAGGGGGGGGGG